TTAATAGTGGCTTCTATAATATGGCTGCAGGATAAATTGGAGTAGTAGAAGGATGGAGGTAATAAAACTAGCTGTGAGACTGTTATGAGGGTTAGGGAATCTGTGCAAGGATGACAGTGGTAAGAGTAGAAAGGAGGAATCAAAAGCAAGAGATATTTTGTTTGCAAATGTTTTCTACCAGGACTTAGAAACTACATTTAATATTAAAAACAATATTGGATGGCTGAAGGAGCACTGTCATAAAGAATGAACAAATGCTAATTGTTTTAGTGTAATTTCTTAAATTGGTCCAATAGGAGCTCCAACTCTGAGGCATCTAGCTTGTTTGTTCATTTGGGAGAACATCTCTACCATCTCCCAGTCACCAGAGTCCAGGAAATTTTCTTCATTTGTAAATCTCATGGCAGCCGGGTGTCTGTGTGGGCTTTCCAAATTCCAGTTCTAATGTCCAGGACACCGACTAATCCCATTCCTTGTGTCAAAGAGACCAAAAGGGCAAATGGGCAAACTTTAACAAAATGTTCTTCCCTCAATATAATAAAAACCAATTAGTCATTTTAATTTGGGTCTACAGTTATTTTGACTTTTGACTTTTGTTCTCTCCTACACTGTTTTCAGCAGCAGAGTTTGAACCATACAGATTATAAAAGAATGGTTGAATCACCAAAAAGACTATTATCCATAAGAATGCTAACTTCATCATTATTACTCAGCTTTTTTGAAGACTTAATAAATACTGAATTTTCAATGCCCTTTTAATATGCAGGAGGATTCATTTGCTAATAAGAAAATTTTAATTTGATCAATACAGAATAGATTGTCATTACAGTGATTAAAATTGCAGTGGTATCAGCATATTCCTTTGTTGTAGAAAGTTGGGTGTGTTATGATTTAATGGCAAGGCCACTGGTCACTAAAAATAGTGAGATTCTTTTGTAAATGGAGAGAGACATGCATTATGTTTTTCTCTTGGTACTAATGTTGTTCATGTGCTATCATTGCAAAACACAAGAGTCAGTTTTACCATACATCTACAGGAATGAATAAACTGTCTAGACTATTGTGCTGCTCAATTTTCATGGCACATACAAGGCACTTGGGGATCTTGTTGAAATGCAGATTCCAATTCAGTAGGTCAGGAATGGAGCAGAATCGACATTTCTATAAGGGTCCCAGGAGACTTTCCTGCTGCTGGTGCCCACAACCACACTTGGGGTCTTGGAATTTTATTAGAGTGGGAAATATTTTCTGGACCTGGGATCTGGTATTAAATCATGTGTATTTCAGTTGTAAAATGACAATAACATGAAAGGAACAAGATACTATCTTTATTTTCTTCAGAAAATAAATCTCTCCCATGTTGAGCTCCCCTATCAAGCCCAGCAAACTTAAAATCAGATTACTGATCATGGTGACATTGCTGCCAGTGTGTAAGGATGGTAAAAAGATGTGTTAGTAACTTCTTTCCACAGTACATATGTGGACATTCTTATGATAGATGTGTGATTAGAGTTTGGTACATATTACAGATTCATTATCAAAGTTGTCTTTGCACGATTCTAATCATTAATATGAAAAACTAGAAAATTCTATAGAAGACAAAATAAGGCAGTAAAATGTTTGGCAGAAAATTTGATTTTTATTCAGATATTCCTGACATGAAACAGATATACCACTGTTGCCACTTGCCTTTGTTCCAAAAGTCACCACTCCTTTTCCTAATTCAGGTATCTGGTTAATTTACCTTCTGTCAGTTTTACCATAATGACTCCTTGGGGAGAACAGAGATTACACAGAAAGATGTCTACTATTACTACAGTCCTAGAATAACGTTATACATGTTTTTTCCTCTCAAGATCTCTTAAAAACCACTTCACTTGTAAAAAAAAAAAAAGGATTACTACAAATACTGTCATTCATTTTTTTTTAGATAGGTGCTATAAAAAAGCATTAGGGTTAATCAGAAGACAGTTTATACCAATCAATTATCCACTGGTATATCTACTTGAACATGAAAGTTCTTTTTTTTTCTTTCTTTCTCTTTTTTTTCTTTCCTTCTTTCTCTCTCTTTTCTCTTTCTCTCCCTTTTTCCTTTTCTTTTTTTCTGCAAAAACACCAAATTATTTGAGCTAATATACTAGATTTGGATGAATGTTTTTGATCTAGGCAAATAAGATACACAAATTGCTAGATGATTGTGTGCATCATTAGAATATCACGATACTGACTCTTGATCTGATGATCAATCAGGTAACTTCTCATAAAGCTCCTATTTACAGGTTTTGAATGACATATATGTATCACAGAGGAGATTAAAGTTCAAAACTGAGTTTAGATGTAAACTCTTAATGGAAGAAATTATGGAGTGACTGCAATTTTTAAAAATTTTTTAAAGATAAGTCTAAACAGATTTAGCTTTCTGATGTGATAAAATGTCCTCCTGCAGGAAGCTGAATTGTAGGTTCCATGGCACTCTCACATAGAGCTCTCAATAAATATGAATGGATGAATGATCAAATTAATTAAATAGGAGGCTATTGAAAGCAGTTCTAGCACCCTAGATTCCTATGTAAGCAAACCCCCTCAATGTATACAGCCATATTCTAGGAAAGCGAAACTTAAGCTTACCTAACCAGAAACAACCAACCAACATCCAACTATGGGCTTCCCATCAGAATGATCCAAGGACACTGTTCCACAGTAACTAATCAATTTGTTTGGTCTATTTCCACATCACCCTACAAAAGCTTTCCTTTCAACTATCTTCAGCAGAGCCCTCATCTGCCTGATACATGAATGTTTGCTCAAATAAACTCTTCAAAATTTTAATGTACCTCATATCTTTTGAATGAATGAATGTATAAATGAATGAATGAGAAGAGGAATGCCTTCACAGAGATTTTGTGAGTGTAGGGAATAACTAAGTGAATCACCCACATATAAGAAAGGTTGTCTTCAACTCTAGGTAGCAGCCATTTAGGTTCAAATGCTTTATGGTTGTTGGCGCCTTGAATTTACCATTAGATAATAATAAAAACAAACAAAACCTTTAGCCCCATTGTTACTTTACAGATTTCTAGCACTTTCAAATCAAAACACAATTTCACCAAGGTTTTTAGACCAATATGCTAGTATTTTGTATAATGAAGTGCTTGAGGTATCAGGAAACCAGCACTCCTCTTTTCTGAATTAGAAAAACATCTATTTACACATTCATATGTATAATTTACAACTCTTTGCATGCATCCAGTCTTTAGCATCCCTGTGAAACAGACTGGGAAGATGTTTGAAATTTGCCTTATTTCACAAGTGAGAAAAAAGGGAGTTTAGCGCACCTGTCCCAAAGAGCTAGAACTCTCCTACTGACTCCTAGTCCTGTGCTCTGTCCTGTAAAGGACAATAAAACAAGAACTGGATGGCCTTTTACATTTTATAGTGCTTGTGAACATACTCAATTTTCAGGATAAAATATTAAGTTTATCACACAGGATGAGACACGAAACACCTAAAGTCCAAAGAAGTAAAAGAAAATTGTCCAAGGTTAACTACTGGTAGAAGCTGATAGGAGCTCCTGCCTACCAGTTCTTGGTCCCTTTGTGTTTATTTGCTTGCTTGCTCATTTTACTACCTCAAACGCATTGAATTAGATTAATCATTTCTTTAGTTTGTTTCCCATTCTCTTCACTGGTCTATGCTTGGTTCTGTTTTATTTAATTGCATAGTTATTTTAGAAAGGGTAATAAGTGTCCTGTGAATCACCAACCAACATAAAAGCTAAGACCAGTGAATTATAAAATGCTTCCCCCTCCCTTGCCCCCACTTCCCCTCACCCCAGTATCAATATTTGAATACTATATCCATTGTTCCAACTATTTTCCTTTTCGTATAGTTATATGAATACATATGACTATATGAATATATTTATATTCCTGGGGAGTTTATAGTCACATTTTAGCTTTATGAAAAGTGTATCAGGCCGTAAGTAATAGACTGGGGATTATACCATAAGTAATTTGGTGGATATGTGTGACTAGAGATCTTTTAACAGTATACACACATACACCAGCTCTTTGAGTGCACAGATAAACATTTAATGTATAGACTACAATCAAACTATCTAGCCTTTTCAATTTAAGACATATTTAAATGCGCTCCACCTATACATTATATGGCAAAGGCCCATTCGCTCAACAAATATTTACTGGGTGCCTCTATGTGCCAGGAGGTACTGTACTGTGATGGGATGCATCAGCAAAACAGATTCCACCTTTTCACCTTTCACCCTCTACTTCTCTCTTTCTCATGATAATAACATTGTATAGGAGAGAGAGAGAATAAATAAATATAGGAAATATACAGGATTTTGAATGGTTTTAAGTGCTGGGGAGGAAAATAAAGTAGGGGAGGCCCTTGGGGACTGGAGGGTTGTCATTTTATATAGAACGCTCAGTGATGCAATGGGGGTGGGACGGGGAGAGTCCTTAGTCGTAAGATGATATGGAAGTAACTTGAGCTGAATCAGAACAAAACTGAACTCCTCCAGAGCCCCCACGCTTAGCCTATTGTGTGAGTAGGACACGGGTTCAGCCAGTGTGAATGTCCCCCCAGAGACAATGCATTTCCTCCCACTTTTCTTCCAGCTGCCCATCCCTTCTCTTAGCATCGCTACGCCACACCTGAACGCCGCGTGCCAGGAGTTTAACACTAGCTGGGAGCAACGCCCGTGGGCACTTTGCCCGGCACGCGCGCAGGAGGGCGCGCCCCGCCCCACCCGGAGCCGCCCTCGGGCAGCTCCCGGCCCCAGCGGGGACGCGCGCGCGTGCCCGGGCCCGCGGCCTCCCGGCAGGAACGCGGCCAGGAGGGCGGCGCGCGCCGCGCTTGGCAGCTGCGGCGGCGGCTGGTGTGGGCGCTCACGTCAGGGCCGGGAGGAGGAGGGGGTTCGCAGGGAGGAGAGGGAGAGAAAGAGAGAGAGAGAGACATGAGGCAGCCTAGCAGGAAGCGAGAAAGAGTTCAGAGGAGAAGGAGGGAGTTTTAGAGCCGCCCGGCGAGCCGGACTCGTGCTCGCTGCAGGAGAGCGTGGCCGGCTGGGCTCCTGGGCTCCTCCGCGCTCTCCGGAGTCCGCTTTCAGCACCCCGAGTGGAGAACAGTTCCCAGCAGCCCGCTGCGCTGCCAGGGGCTGCCCGCCGCCGCCGGGTACCTGAGCCTTCTAGGGGGGCTCAGGGACACCCCCAGAACCCAGTGTGCACGCGCCTTCTCCCCTCTTTGGTGCGCGAGAAAACACGGGGGAAAAGCATCCGGCGGCCTCAGGGAGCCCTGAAGAAGCCCAAGCAGAATGTACCAGGGTCACATGCAGGTAAGATATTTCCATGGAGCTGGGAAAGAAACATTGTGGCTCATTTATGAGCCAGGCGGCTCACCAAGTTACTGTGGTCAAGTGCTGCCTTCACACAACTCAACAAGTGAGGTGGTGCAACATGACCATGACATTTCTGTCCAGTGCTGTCAGTAACACCAGACCACCGGTGTCTGAGGGTGGGATAGGGGGAGGAAAGACCTCGGAACTTCCATTGGGGAAGTTTGCTTTCTGTGCATTCCCTGATCCTGTTCCTTTAAGCAGGCTCAAGGAATCCAAACAGAGGAAACCCTGGAGATGACCGTGTTTCCGTTGTAATCCTATTGATGCATCTCGGCATGTATGTCAACTGAAGGGCAAACAATAATAGGAAAGACAAAGCTTTTCCTTTACCCATTTTCAAAGGTTTCATGACACTTAAAATACTTTGCCACTTTTACATTATCTTTAAAGTGTTATTTTTAAAATGGTTTGTGCTGTATTTTTACCCCTTCAGACGGTGGGACATTATAGTCTGTCCCAATAGTCACAGGATGACTTGGGAGGATGAATTTCAAACATATGTCCAAGAGGCTCTAGTGTTTTTCTGGGAGGTGCTTCTCCTTCTTTTATTAATGCTCACCTGAGCTGAAGCACTGCTTTTTTAGATGCAAGCACTCTACTGTCTTGGGCAAGATTACCTTAACCTTGACTCCAGTTCTCATTCACACGGTTGGTTCTTTCGTTGATTTTTTTCCCTTATAAAGGCACATGTATGCGTTGGGAGAAAAATCAAACACTAACTCAGGTTCCAAAAGTATGAAGTGAGCGCTTTTTCCCCCCAAATGCTTCAGCCATCTGGTTTAATGCTTAGGCTTTCTTTCCATTCCAAAGATGGTCAAATACAAGCATCGTAAGTAGTGCCTGAAGGTGTGTAACATGTGAATACTGAGGGTGTTGCCTCTGTCTTTTAGAGCAATCAGAAGTAGATAAATTGTTGCCTTCATGATTTAATGTTACCCACTATTTAATTTCCAGGTTCTTGGGGAAAAATCTTTGAACTATTATTTACTTCTGATAAGCCACAGTTATTGTATCATATTCCTAAATTTTGTAAGAATTCTGAATCAGCACTACCAGAATTCCAAAAGCATTTCCCATATTACTGACATCATCCTGTTCTGAAAATTATTGAGACTATATTACATTTGATGGATAATCAGTATAATTTTTTAATATATAGTAAATGTGATCTACATGTTTGTTATACAAGCTATGATAACTGGGAAGTTTGTATCAAAGGAACTTTCAAACAATGACTGCTAAAAAAATTAACAAAGGATTATTACTTTAATTTTATGCTTCATCTTTGCCCAAGAATGATACTTAAAATTTTATTTATGATGTACTTACTATTTTAAATAGTTCCTTCACAAAGGTAAAATAGCCTTTGTGAAGTTTTAGTCAATAAAGTCAATTCTCAGAAAATTGCTCATTTACAAAATTCATAGTTGACTGTCTAGTGCAATTCATAAAAACAATATTTTAGGTTTAGAAATATGTTTTGTGAGTATAGAGTTAAAGAAATAGTCTGGTAAGTTCATGCAACCCCAAAACAATTTTAACTTAATTTTCTAAATATTTCAGGGGAGGATGTTATTGAAACTTGAGTCATCTAGAATGTCTCAGGGCTTAATGTCACTTTGAGAGAATAGACAAGAAGTAAGTCTCTGCATATGTTCTCAACTTAATGTTTTTCACCTATTCACTGCTGGAACAGCAAATATGATGGCTTGCAGTAAAACTCACGAATCTTTTCTGCCAAGCCTAACTTGAAAATGTTACCAAATAGAGATTGTGATCAATATGCTTGCCAGAATTTCAGGATACAACACTTTTCCTCCATTTACTGCTGAGCATTAATGTTGAACATGAAGTTTTCAAGGCCTTATTTAATGATACGATCTGAATGGAAATTCTCTTTAACCCCCAAAACATACATTACAACCTGATTTTATGATATATTTCTTTCTTTACATTTTTATACTCCAAATCTCTAACTCAAAGAATATTATTTAACCTATAGGTAAGATCTTCATTGTGTTGGTATATTTAGAGAGATAAACAATTGTTCCTTATCAGAGATAGTATCATCTTGTCTGTACTTGAGTCTGATCATAGACCAGAAGAAATAGAGTCCAAACACTCCAAAATGTTCACGATTAAAATCTGAACACACACTGGGTCAGTGGACCAGGGGTGAGCAGATTTATTAACATTTTCTGCCCCCTTTGGAGTGCACTGGTACCATTTGGCTGATACCTTAAAACAGGATGAAACAAAATGTTCGCAATCATTTGCTATGCTTTTTAATTCTTCTCTTTACTGTACTCCAAACATTTTAAAATTAAATGCTTCAAAAATACGCAGTCTGGAGTAGGGGTTGATCTTCACATGAAGCCTTCAAAAATAGTGTAATTTAAGACTCCTGTGATGCCTTTGTTTTTGCAACTTAATGATTTTGCAAATAAGATCTACTAATTCTAATACACCTAGCTAACTCATCTACTTTATGGTGGGACTTCAATTCATTTTAGAAGCCACAAACTTTAAAAGTACACATTTGGTTTTTTCTGATAGTTCATTGAAAGATACAAAGTGGCATCTCTTACAGACAGAGCACAGATTAGTAGAATATATTTCTTGTTTTCATAGTAAATGACACTAGTATATTTCTTACACACAGGGCCCAGGAGTTGTGTTGTTCTCCAACTGCATCACCAATTATTTCCAAGGGGAATTAATTACCCCAGCAACCTAAGCAAAGGTGGTTTTCTTTAGTGTCTGTTTTATATTTATATTAACTTCCTTTTCCCTTTTGACCAAGGGAACTGAAGATAATTAAACATACTTTAGCATCAGTTCTAACAAAACATTCTATTATTGATAGGTGACCTATGGTCCTAATCCCACCAATACCTCTGTGTGCTCCATGCAGAGGTGTTTATTTGCTTATGTGCATATGAGTTAACACTGCCAATTAGAGCAAGATTATTCCCTGACTCTGAATATTTGCTCAACCAACCTTGTTTTTTGTTGGGATAGATAAATATAGAACAATATTTGAAATAATATTTGAAACAATATTTAAATTGAAAACTTTCAATTTTGAACTCAGTTTTCTTTTAACTCTTAATGAAGAGCTCAAAGTAATTTTTCTTTTTTGTTACAAAAAAGTTATTTCAGAAGGCAAACAAAAATCTTGTAATGACAACTGATCTTTATCATAGGTATTCAGAAGACTTTTTTGTTTTTCATTTATTCAAGACATCTGGGGAATCTGTTCACTAGCTCTAGCTTCACAGCACACAAACCAAAGAATATTTAAATAATAAAAAATTGTAAGATTATTAGTGATTTTATTTGTCATCCCCCCCAAAGGATTTGTGTTTGTTTTTATTTATGAGTTTGCTTAAGCTTTTCCTTACAATTTTCCTGATGAAACACAGCTTAGATAATATAAAATATGTTAATACATTAGATATGGCTACAGAGGATTCATTGGGTTCACTCAAAACAATGCACATAAGAAGCCAGTCTAATGTAGGCTGTAGAATGTTGTTTTCAACATTTTTAATAGAGCTTCTCATAACTGCAGCCATCAGCCAAACTAAAGCTGGTGATATTTATCCTGACTACTTCCACCTAACAGATTCACCCTCCATACTACCTTTTTTTTTCTATTCTGTGTCATTTCTTTTTTAACCCTTTGCAGAAGTATGAACTTCTAACAAATATATAAACAATAGCAATATAACACCCACTCACCCACCCACTTAACACAGTGGTATTTATGACATTAGTTTGGCATGGGAGCAGGGTGTGATGTTTAGAGGAGAATGGGCAATGCTTGGGTTGGTTGTGTTGTTTTGATCAGGGGTAGCTATTGCCTCCCCTTCTTCCCCCAACTCAGAAGGCACCTACTCTTCCTCAAAACAAATCTTCCCATGAGTGATGGTGAGCACTAGTACAATGGACCTAATGTATGAAATATGAACTAGAATTCTATAGAGGGAAATTCATGTACAGTTAAACTCATGCTCAAAATTATGGCAAAAGTCCCAGCAAGATTCTGAAATGCCTTTCTGTATATTCACAATGAATAAAGTTTAAAGTGGTGTAATGTTGAGCCTTTAACACTTAAAAATTATAATAGTCCTAGTATAATGTTCTAGGATATTCGTTTAACCTAAAAATCTCATACCCCAGTGATTTTGACCAACAGTTTACATTAGATACTTCTTTTAAGATTTATAATATGGGCTTTACAGATTTCATTTATAGGTTATAGACATTCTTACTAAAAACACATGTTTGAAAGTGAAAATTCCAGCATATGAATGTTTTGACTACAAAACATTTTTAAAAGAAAAGACTATGAAAAGGTTAAAACAAAATTTGTTAATTTAAATCCTGAATCTCCAGTATTACCACTGCCAACCTTGGAAACATTAGGATGTGATGCACCATGTAGTCAAAACATCTGGCAGGCTGTTTTCTTCCTTCCTTCCTTCCTTGCTTGCTTTCTTTCCTCTTTCTTTCTTTTCTTTCTTCCTTCCTTCCTTCCTTTCTTCTTCCTTTGTTTCTTTCTTTTTCTTTTTATTGAGATCATGTTTCCAACACTGGCATAAGCTAGATCTGTTTAGAGCCTTCATATTTTAGAATTAACTTCTTGATACATTTACAGAATAACCAGCACTGAATATAAAGGTAAACCCCAAATTAGTGTTTCCTTATCAAGAGACCGAAGTCCAATCTGAATCTTTGAGACATCTAAAAATTGATGTAATTTCAAATAGGTAGAGAAAATTTGTTTCCATGTTTCTAAAGTACTTATCACCTTTTTATAATTCAGGATTTTTGAAAGATAAAATTACCTCAAATTATATTGTATAACCCATGAGAGTTCTATGAACAGGGGGTTACATTTCTCAATGACTTTTTCTTTCACTCCCACCTCA